GCCCCAGTCCCTCTTAAAATCGCTATCTTCGAACACCTCAACCAATCCCCATGATAGGACGACCGATTATGCTTGGTAATCCCTCCGATTGGATGTCCGGCCAGGAGTCACATGTTTGTTTTGCCATCGAATCGACCTGATTAGACTGGCGAGTGGCACCGGCACATGACGTTTCTTGTGGTTGACGTTGACACAGACGCCCAAGCAGCGATGGCAACCTCACTTTGGAATTGCCCGCGCTCAGCACAAGCTCTTTAAACTCATTTAACAGATCGACATGGGTCTTTTACCTCCTCGTAAGAAGTCGAACCTGCTCTTCAAGCCTCGTACTAGTGCAAGCAAGAGCCCCAAAGAGGACTCGCTCAATGCGACGCCTTTGCCATATGAAGCCCAGAAACTCAAGCTGAAGATCTTGAACGCCCACCCAGAGCCGCTAATGCGCTTCAGTATGAGTCGCATGCGTCATATTGTATCGCAACCACCAGTGGAAATTCCTGCTGATCTTCGCAAGAAAAACCTCGTGTCCAGCCGCGTGTCAGGTCACAACGTACCGCTCACTCGAAAGATGTGGGACTACCAGATGAAGCAGTACAAGAAAGGCAAGCTCGACATCATCGGAGAAGGCATCTACTACGGTTGACAAAGCTGGGTGACTGAAATCCAACTTTAATGATGATTAAGAGTGACGTGAATACCATTCACACCCCTCGAGCTGTAGACTAGTACGTATACTGAAGAACAAAATATACTGATTGAAGCTATTGATTGTGGTGTTCTTCATTGATGTCGGCTCAATCTGACAATTCATTTCTCTTCTTTCGGGTGAGTCCAAACATTCAACCAAGACAAACAACCTCAATGGACATGACGACAGAAATCCGCAGTCACTGAACAAGCTAAGAAAGATGTGTGCAACTACCTCACTTCCATAGCCGAAGCCCTCCCTGACTAGAGAAAGCGAACTAGCGAGCTGGAGGATTGCATGCTAGCAAAAAGGTCGAATCGATCATTTCGCCGTGACACCCACACACGGGCGTTGCGATTGCGGAGCCGATCACAACTTTTGAGTGGAGACCACCATTTCCTCCAATTCCACAGCATCTACGCCGAGTCTCCTAAACCGCCTACTCCGTCGTGACAACTTCTATCATAGTGCACTCAACCGTGTATCAAACGGGCTTTTGCATTTCAAATAACGCTTTCATCCTGACAACCAGTAAGGTATATCCAATCGATCGTGGTCCATACGAAGCCGTTCTTTTAAACGACATTGGCTTCACGTGTCCCCACGTCCGGGATTTCCTGGTGTGCGGTGTCATA